TCTACACTCAGTCTAATCTGTCGTTATTTATTTTTATTTTATTTTATTCATCAATTGTTCTTATTGTTCTATTTTATTGTAACAGATTGAATAAAAATCTTTTAATAACAAAAAAAAAAAGCTTAATGATATTAAAATTTTAATTTTTAAAATAAGGTACATATGAAATGGATTATACAAAATACGGGACAAAATTATTTTTTTTATACTTGTGTCGGAACACCAAGACACTTTATTCAAATACGGGACGTATGGGATCCCTAGTTTTGTAGAATCAACCGGTTAGTAGGTTATGAATCAAACGGTTTTGCGTTGTCACGAGCCGCTGTATGTGTGTTACACAATCGTGTCCTCGAGTCAGGCGTAAATTCGCTTCAAACTCTGGGCCGCATTTGATGAATAACAAACGCAGTACAACGCAGCCCGTAGATTTCCAATTAATTTGTTCGTGTTCCACGGAATCGTCTTGCCGAAAATATTATTAAGTTCTAGCTATATATAAAGCGGCATTTTTGTGTTTACCCGGGCACCACCACCAGCGATTGTTGTTTAATTGCGCATTTCCCGTTAAAACTCTAACCACCCAATCGCCCTTCCCCGTCCCACCAATAATCGTACACGTTCCGATGCAAAAGTTTGTTTGATAAAATCATAACGTGAATCGTACGCCACCCGCCCCGTTAGGTCTCAATGAAATCGTCGGCGAAACGTTAAAAAAATGTAAAAACCCTATTCGTCCTTCTCTGAAACGTTAGTAATGTATATACGCTGTACGCATAAACAGGAATAATATATTCAGATTTTTGGATTGAGATAACTTAAACGAGTACGTTTGAATTTTCATTCTTATCTAAACATCATGGAATGATTTTTAGATTAATCTGTCCAAGTGAAATGTAACTTGTGTGTGCGTATGTATGTAACTAAGAAAATATTTATTTTTCCTGTAGACATTTTTTTTTTTTTTATTTGTCTTCTTCGTCAGTTAAATCAAAACCATTTTATTAGTAAATTAAGGCCAGAATAAATTACATTTTTAAAAACCAAAAAATTTCAATGCGGTCGGCACGTATTAAATTATTATTCAGTCACGATTTCGATTGAAACGTCTCCTACTTAAAAATATACGCTCAGTGTAATACGATAAACATATTCTTAATTTTCACTGTTATCATAATTACAAATTTTTGCTCACAATTTCTTCGCAGGAAATAATTATATATTTTCAAATAAATTGTCATAATAGGTCAACCGTAAACCACCTTGCCGTTACGTAAAAATGCTTCAAATGTTTTAGGATTGATAGAAGCACTTTTCTCTGGGTTGCTCTTTTATAATGTACGAAGCTTCGTTTGATTTCATTTCGTACTAAGCTAAAAGCATGCCGTAATAAAGCGTCAGTAGTATTCGAGCGCAGTCCCCGATGTCGGGATCGATAACATTTTCACTATGATTTTCGGTGTCATAAAAATATTGTGATTTTTTCATAACATATTACACATTTCAAACCGACAAACCGAATAATATTGGTTTGAGTAATATTGGGTAAAAAGGTTCTTTTATTTCAAATTATTGTAGTTATAATAACTGAAGCGAGTTTGGGTTGATGAAATGATTCGGTGAACTAAGTTTAATTTTTTTTATAGGGATCAATTATCCAATTTTTTCTATCGTATTTGACGGATTTGCTCAAACAATTTCACGGATTAAAGATAACTTAGTTAAATATATATTTTTTTAGAAAGTTTTGAAGAACCATGTATAACTACCATGTTAGAAGTGCTGTATCTAAGCCCTCCCAATATATTTTGCTGGCTATGGACTGGTGTATCCTAGGCCTTTCCTGGGATTGCGAGGTAAAAGATATTTTTTCTAATGGCTTTTGTTAAGATTATCGTATTTAAAATTTTTCCGTCCAGGGGCCACAACATTTTGCCGCCTCTATTCCCTGAAGTGTAAAACTGAAAATAAGTGTCTCCAACTTATTTATTAAAAAGCCGCTCGCAATTTGTTTTCCCCATTTCGGTACACTATTACACAATATTTGTAATTAATATCAAATCAAAAATAATAACTAAATTATAATTATATAAATAAAGTTATAGATAATTGTCTTTTATAAGACTGATGGTGGTACTCTAAAATAATTTAATACCTTTCGGTCTGAATGTCCCATCTCCATACAAACCAAGATTAAACCAATACCTATATCTCAATAAAATACTATGTCGAATAAATTACTCTTAAATGTATAAAAATTTTGTATGCTACTAAATAATATATATTATTTTATAGTATAAAATTTATTTTTTGTATAATTTTATTTATGTAAAAATAATATTCCATCTAGGATATAAAAAAATCGATTTGGTTTTATTTAGAATCATCGTAAAAATATTGCCACCTCTTTAGATATTTCAGGCAATACCTACCCTAGAACCAGCCCTTAAATACAGCCCTGACTGCGAAGGAAAGAACACTCGTAATCCATCACGGTTTTTTTACGGTAGTAAATGTTAAATAAGGAACAAACGAGGTGTTGAGCACAGACTAATCTTGAATTTACAATATTTGAGTTAATGGCATAAATATTAACTATACACCATAAATTTTAATTCATGAACGGTCAAAACACATTCAATAAATATTTATTATATAGCAACACCCTAACCGTTTTTGCATTTTAAATTATGAATAATTTGAAGAGAAAGAATGGGATTTGTTTTGCATGTATTTAAATATGATTAATTAAGGGTTAATCCGTTACTGCCCTCAGCGTCTCAATTATGATTCGTTAAAAATATTCCTAAATGTTATTATTAAACATGGTTACTCTTTGGTTCTTTGGTTTTGCCAAAATTTGAATATTTTGTGCGTTCACGAAAATCTCGGAGCTCAGAACGACGGCTACGCAATCATAAAGCCATGTTCCGAGTGGACCAAATTGAATACAATAATGATAAACAATGTCTGGCGCAGTAGCGATATACGTTCAATTTGAGTACAAATATTGGGAATGCTGAAATTGTTGAAAATAATACTGATGGCATTTTACTGTAGTTATTATAAATAGACTAAAAAAATAAAATAAAAACAGGGGTACTAAAGACCCTTTACGCCCCTTTGGTTGCGCCTGCGAATGGCAATGCGATGGCGAGCACTTCATCAGACTGATGGATGGCGGGATAACGAACGTTGAACTGTCAGAATATGCGAGGTTTTGTGTGGTCGGTAGTGGCGATGAAACCGAGAAGGGTCAGCCACCTCAACGAGGGGCCAGTGGTGACTTGTAAGCACCTTCTACCGGAGCGTTGCATTGGTAAAAACATTTTGGCATGGGTGGGTGGTATTGGTGCTCAGCAGTTACACAGCGAAGCCAGAACAATTTTTTCTGGGTAAGTGGGTGATCTAAATTTGTCTGCCCCGGCAAAACGTAAATGTTTAAGTCGCTTACTGCGGCGGATTGTTTAAGTTTTTGGGGAGGTGGGTCAGTGGATATCCCAGGGGAGTGGGACGACGACGAAATACTACTGAACTTGCAGTAAAAAGGCCCAGCCCACATTAGCGATGGAATTCATCTCCATGTGTCTGGGGAAATAAAAAAAAAAAAAACTCGCTGCCACCGGTCCGGTACGGCGCGCGGTCGGTCGTCCGAACAGCTGTAGCTGTTACGGTACGCAGACGGCGGTTGAACATATCGAAACCCCGCGTCGGTACGCGACGCGCCGTTCACATTACGCCGACGTCCCGGACCACGTGCGACCTGTGCGTGTTTTCTCAGGACGACGAGGGAGGAAAACGCGTGTTCGATTACCGTTGGCGATGAGATAACGTCCTTCTGTCGGTACAAACGTCACAGGGCTTCCGGGTGGCCTCGTTGCTGCTGTCTAGACCCGTTCGCGGCCTCTTCCGTTTGACACGCGTTCGTGCTCTCGTCATCGTCCTTTTCCCGTTCGGGTATCCTTCCCTCCTTACCCCCTCTCCGGGCGCGTTGTTGTTTCCATTCCTGCGCAGGGTCCGTATACGTGGTCTGTGCGCTGTAAACAATAATACAAGTGCGGGCACACATTTTCACATTCAGGTCAACGCGTTCGGCGGTGTCACGGCATGGTGGCGATGGTAGGTTTCGGAGGGCAGGACCCCTACACCCATCGTCGGGAGAAACACAGGAATAATATTCAAACGCTGCTTTTTATTTTAATCTTTTAATCGACTGACCTTTCAATGTGCTCGGTTTTACATATATACGTGAAATATACATATTATTTTTCGAAACAATCTTACGAGTTTATAACACGGCGTTACACTTCCGGTTTAAGAATAATAAAAATATTGATAATAATAAAAACAAAAAAAAAAAAAAAAAGAGAACCGAAACGAAAACAAATACACGTCGTCATACATATGGTACAATTGTTATTAAAATCATATCTTAACTATATAATGTAATAATATAGTGGTATAATGTTATACGTTACTTAGTCGATTAACTGTTGTTGTGTACAACACATTTAAATGCAAAACGTCAACAGCGTAATTGAATACAAAAAATATATATAAATATTGAATAAAACTGTTAACCCTTTAACCGACCAATGACTACGGTAGTGGAGAAAACGCGGTAATAATAATATTTAATATTGTATAGTATAATATTACAGTAGAATATAATATAAGTAATAATAATAATTAATATTATTATTATAATCAGAAAATATATGAACCGTAGGGTTTCTTCTAGTGTCGTTTTAAGTCAGTAGAGTTCATCAACTAATATTTAATAGATCATTCGGACAGAAAATAAAAATTAACCAACTACATACATATTTATGACTTGAACAATCTTGTTTTTGACTGACAACGTTTTATGAATGTATATTTTTTTAACGACTTTTAACAATAATATTTATATTATTAATATTTTAATTATATTTTTTACAATTTGTATCCACATAATAATTATAATAATAATAAAAATAATACAATAATAAAAACAATAATAATAGCGCGTTATCAAATATATTTACGAAATTTGATTTAATTATAATTGCCTAATAGTATACAACGCAGAAACGAAAAATGTCAAAATAGTCAATTAATAACTGAAAATAGTTTTTAAAGAACACAAAAAAATAAATAAATATTGTTCGTTGTATGCGTAAATCCTATACAGACAAGGATACGAAGCTGTTGTATTGTGTAATGTTTCTCTTTAATATATCAGCGCACGGGCCCAACACTCTTTCAAACCTGTAACGAAAATAATGTATCATAATTAAACGTGTACGTTCTTTCATAAATATTTTATGTATACAAATATATGTAATGTGAATAACCATTTCACAATCACTTATAATGTAATTGTTGCAATGGAATATTAAATTCAGATTGGTTGCAATGAATTATCTCGCCCCGTACGTTATATATTTCGAAAGTCAATTAAACGATTTTTTTTTTTATTGTTATATGAATTTAGTGCATTGTTCATGTCCACAAAATTTTAGTAAAAGCTGACCTTTGTCATTTAACAGAACTGTTCATCGGTCTGTGTTCATTTTCGCATATATACAGGCGTAATATAACTAGGGAAAATATTATATGATACGCGAAGACTACGAACACAATCTAAGCAGTACGTTGACATTTAACGGTTTTTATTTACATTATTTTTTATACCATTTGAAATTGCGCATAAAAAGAAAGCAACATAACTGCACAATCTCAAAAAATGTGTACATCAGGGAGTTTTGTAGTTTGAAATGTGAAATATATTGTCAACTGTAGTTTTAAGTTTTAATGTTTAAACATTCTCAATGCTACATGTCAACGACAAATTTTTCTCGTATTTCACGTTTTCTGTTACACGATCTCTATGGTTCTTTGTCAACCATTACTGATTATAAGTGGAATACTGTCAAAATATAATCATTCTTTTCATATTACATTATAAAATCTAACAAAGTTCTAACACAAACGGTAAATATTTAAAAATTAATTTATACCAATTTATTTTTTCGTAATGCTATAAGATTCGTTTTATTAGAATTCGATTTTGTGGTATTATTTTCGAAATATAATAGCAAATGGACGAAAAAAAAATGTATGCGTTAGGAAATAGAAATATGATAAACACAATGTGGGGATAGTTTTTCAGTTTAGGTAAGATCGATTGGACAGCAAAAATTGTTTACTGACCATTATCGAGAGAGAAATTCAATAGCATAATATTTGTAATTTATATCCTAAAGACTTGGTTTGTCTTTTTAAGCACGATGTCTATTTATTGAAGGGTAACATTATACTTTTAATGGTACGCTATCGACCACCTATGATATTTTAATGAATAGGATTTATATTGAATAAAAATGCGAAAATTGAAAATTGTGTACAACACTTTCCACGGGGTTACCATCTGTTTGATTAGCCCAAATAAAAATAATACGACAGACATATTTCTAAAGTACACATTTATAGTTTTTGTTAAAAATACATTCGTTGAAATTAATAACGTATATAAATCTCACCGCGTGTAATGTTTACGCTAAATAAACACATAATGATACGATTATGGTACGTCACATTAAATCAAGTTCATAACACCGTAAACGTGCCCAGATTTTCAATCGCAATCATATGCAATATTACACTTTTGTCCGTTTAATATTTGGAAGCAATTATTTTGTGAAGATCCGATGAAGTAAGAATAAATATTACTTCGAAATATGTAGCAGCACGTAAAATTCAATACGTATATTAAAGTGTCGAGATATAATAAACATTTAGTTATAACACCACGATTTTAATATTATAAATCGTTTTACACCAGTTGGGAAACCTTTACAGAACAATGTCATAATTTTGCTATGTTGTTACTTGACAATCTATGTTCTCGGCAGAACGTAAGCCTTACTCAAAAGGCTGTATACTTTTGATAAATGAACACGTCCTGTCGTATTTTTGCGAAATGCCGTGTGGTGTAAAGATTTTATCCGACAGAGCAGGTAAATAAATAAAACAATAAATAACCACCACGTATATGTAGGTGTGTAGATAAAGTATGAATTGTTTAATTTAATTAATTATATTTATTTAATATTAAAAAATGACTAGGACAAAAGCATATTTCATGATTTTCGTCGTTGCTTATTATGGATCACATACAAAAATTATGTTGACTTCATTAAATGAGGTCGAATATGTTGTATTAGTAAAGGAACGCAGTAGAAAATGTAATTATATTTCTGTGTCCCTATGCAAAATACAATATTTATTTATAATATTTGAATTTAAAAATTTAAGAAAAATAAAAAAAAAAATATATTAAATATTTTATAAAGACAATCAAAGATAGCAAATTAATGAACATTGTCAATAATTATAACTAATCGAAGTTAAAATGCATTTATATGCATCATATCTCAAAAAAATATTAACATTTTTTATTCGTCTAGAATATTCGAATTTTTCAAAATAATATATAATATATATGTTACGGGCAAAATTCGAAATCGGGCAAACCTCAGAAATGCCCGGACAAAACGTGAACTGCCCACAATCCTTGGGCAAAATATCATATTTCGGCTTTTGATCGGGCAAACCTAGTTATGACCAATGGCGCCGATCACCTAATTTATCTATGACATATGTCATAGTAGATTTTATAGCTGGGGCCCACCAAAAGTTACTAGGGCCCGGTTGTGGGCCAGAATTTTACTTATAAAGAATTTAAATGATTAGTAGATAGCAATACTAGTACCTAACTGCTAATAAACACTATAGCCTATTTATATAATAGATAGTTAGTAGATTATGATTCTACTGATTCTATAGAATATAGACTGTAGTATAGACTATAGTCTATAGACTCTAATACCAAATATAGTATACTAAAATTATTATACTAACGTAGTAACTCAACATTTGACAGCTCAACTATTAGTTATTAGACGTTACTAATAAATAAAAGTTGAGCTGTCAAATGTTGAACATGGTCAATGGTCATGAAAGTATGACATATTAAACTATATATGTTATATTGTTATAACTATGAATAGTTATTTTGTTATGGATTTAATAATTTAACGTATTTAAGGTAAAGGATAATGATAAATGATCGTTATGTCTTTATTTATTTAATTACTAAGGTAGATATATTGATTTTATATTTTTATGGTTTTACTTTTTACGAAGTAATTGAGTGAATAATATTTGACTACTGTATACGTAACTATACACTACTCTGTAGTCTGTAAGTAAATTCAAAATTTGTTACATTATTTTTAAATAGTTTTAACTGATATAAAAATGAATATCATTATTTTAAATAATACTATAATAGTATAATAGTAAGTATTTACTGCATGTAGAATTGTAGACTTATTGCTATAATCAAGGCTCAGAAGTTCTAGTAAATGCATATTTTTCTTGGTTCATCCTAGAACATCCAAAGTAAGATACAAGTATGTTTCTCACTACTCGGATATCACACACAAAATTTGATTGTGCTATTTTTTGCATATTTACGGGTTTTATTGCTATTTTGCTAATTTAGGGTTTAAAATGCTATTTTTGGGTATATTTTCACATTATGTAGGAAATAATCAAATTTTGTTGATAATAATTGTATTTACTTGGTTATGTTTTTAAAAATATTTTAGTTATTAGAAATAAATAGACTAAATCAAATATTATTTTATGTTTTCATTGACAATTTGATGTATTAATAGTTAGTGATGTCATTGTTATTCCTTTATTATATCACTGCATTAGATTATCAAACATTTTAATAATCTAGGATAATTTCCAAGGTAAATATATAAAACTATTTAATAATAAGTACATTTTTACAAATATATTTAAGTAATTTAACATTTTTGTTAACATTTTTATAATTCAATCAGTCCAACCTGTGTCTAATGAGCCCAACAATTTGTAAAATTATATTTTTTACAAGTTTAATTTATATTTTTAATTTATTACATTCTACTGGTTTAGATAGTGTATTCCCACATCTTAATTATGATATTAAAATTGCTGTAACATTATCAGTTTCTAGTTGTAGTACTGAAAGATTATTTTCAAAAATGAAACTAGTCAAAAAAGATTAAGATCGTTAACATCCGAAGACCGCCTAGAAGGACTAGTTAAAATTCCTTGTGAGAGTGACATTATGATTGATATAGATTTAGTAGTAGATATATTTGCACAAAAAAGTAGTATTTTAGTTAAATCATTAATTTTATAAGATTTTAATTTTTAATTAAATAAAAACTTGACAATCTATGTAGTATTATGGTAATTAATATGTTATTTTATTTGTATTATGAATATTTAAATGATAATAGGTAATTAGTTCTCGATTTCATATGGTTTATCAAAACCGTGTTAAGTCACAGCTTAATAGCTAGATAATAGCTTACCTATGTTCAAACAGGTCATAGCAAAAAATACATATAAATATTTTGTTCAGCTAAAAAATGAAAAAAAAAATTGGGGGTCCCTAGATGTAGGATGTCATAGTATTTTTAAAAAAATACGGCGCCACTGGTTATGACCAACTTCATTTGAGCAAAACCGCCAAAACCGTTTACTGACTTTTATCGTAAGGCCAAAACCGTAGAGTCTTAAATATGTATAAGGGTACTTTTTCATCACTTTATGTCAGAAACCAAATATTTCTATGCAAGGAACAATTTATTAGTAGCAATGAAGTACCGAATATCGAAATACCACTGAGGACTGCTAATATTCAAAATTCATTAATTGGAGAACAAAAGTTTACTTTTTATTCTTGCAAAACTAAGTGCACTACGAGACGATGCAAATGTAAAAAACAAAATATTTTGTGTAGTTATAAATGCCATGGTTCTAATATGTGTAGCAGCAAATAAACAAAAATATTATTTTTTATTATTATTTAAGTATATTAAATTATATCTATACAATATTTTATGATTATTATTTTTCTGTATTTAATATTAGTGAAGTTATTTAAAACGCTACAGTTTGGCCCATTTGAGGTTTAAATGTATTAATTAAGTTTATTCAATTATATTTGTACAATAATATTTATTTTATAATTATTTGTATTTAATATTAGCGAACGTATTTAAGGTTCTACGGTTTTGCCCTAAACGATAAGTCAGTATACGGTTTTGGCGGTTTTGCTCAAATGAGGTTGGTCATAACTAGGTTTGCCCGGTCAAAAGCCGAAATATGACATTTTGCCCAAGGATTGTGGGCAGTTCACGTTTTGCCTGGACATTTCAGAGGTTTGCCCAATTTCGACTTTTGCCCGTAATATATATAATTCGTACTAACTAACGATTTATTATATGCATAGTATTCGTCGAACACTTAATTCAAAATTAAATTTTTCATTTCAAATTAAACAACAAAAAGATGATAAGAAAAGTAAGGATTTTTTCAAACTTAAAAATAGAAAAATTAAAAGTAAAACAACTCTGGGCAATCGAATATAAATTTTACGATGTTAATACTACAAAAATATTACGTAAAATTAATTTAAAATATATACGTAATAATTTCATAGTTTTCTACTGATATATCTGATATATACTAATTTATCTAAACAATTTTAATTGTGTAGTCATTGGATGATAATAAATAACATAAAAATAATTGTTAAGAAAAATGTCATATTAATTTAACTGTGTAAAATACTACGAAGAAATGTAAGAAACACAAATTTTATAACTGTTGTTTTTACAATCAAACTTTTATTTTGAGTAAAATCTAAGTAGTTTTCTGTGATATATAATGATACACTATAATTTATTCTAGAAGCAGTTTTATGAATAGGTACCTTCAAGTATAAGTACTATTATCTATTAAATTGTATAACATAGGTATTACGTATAAAAAATAACTATAAATTATATAGAGAAATGAGCAAAATAAGATTTTTTTTTTATACGAACATTATTAATTCGAAAGAATTTATCTTCTCTTTTAGTACATGGTAAGGTTAAATCATAAAAAAAAGTTTGTTGTTTAAAAATCATAATGTTCTAACCCTAGTTTTGCCATATAAGGTGTCGTACTGCAACCATGTTTATTTTATCATGAAACTTTCACTTTTCATAAAGAAAAATTGTTTGAATATAAAGTAATAATTGTTTCAAACTCGTTTGAAGTAAGAATAAAGAATGATAGTGTTGTAGCGTCTATATACCTCACACTATATTTCATAGAACCCAGTACACGCATAGTATAATTACCATCTACAAAGCAGGAATGGGCAACTCAAAGTCAATAGAGGGCCAATTTTTAGAAAATTACAATCTAACGGGCCAGAGCGTAGAAAAGAAAAAAAAAGTAATTTAAAATATAAATTTTAATTAGCATTTATATACACGGAAATAATAAATTCAATACATACGACAGCACGACACGAGTGAAAAAACTAATATAGTAAAATAGTGCGGTACATATAGCTATCGTTGAAAGCTATGCGTACATACATACATATGACTTTTAGACATTTAACGATGTTTAATACCAGATAACAATTATTATATCGATAAGATAGAGTATAGACAATAAACTTTAAAATTGTATGATATGGTTTGAAAATATAGCACAGGTCAAATAAAAAGTTGCCCACCCTTGCTATAGAGTATACATTTTATGCTGAATATATTTTGAAAATAAGTGAGAATGATCTTCAGTGGTTCTGCTATTTTTTGAAAATTAAAGAAATGTACATATTTATTATTTTTTAAACTAGAGACGCCAGCCGTTTATTTATATTATTTATTATAATTTACGTTTTCTTTTAAAATGGTATTCATATTTAATATAATTTCTAATATTTAATCATCATTTGTTTAAGTGCTGAATAATTTGGTGATTGTTATGTTACCGCAAGCAAAAACTACGAGAAATACCGCTGTAAAATGTTAATAGTCAAATAGCAATTATATTGTTTCAGCGTTATTAAATTGGTTCCATTTAATTAACTAGTTTACTACCTGTCAATGTATAAACTTGACGTTAACAATATACGTTTACGTCAGCGGTGACTTTCGCTAATATAGGAGAAAACATGATCAAATCTCTGTCAGAAAATACACACAAAGTTTTAATTCCTTATGTTGTCCTAAATCTATTAAAGGTACATATATTAATAATTAAAGTTATTTTAATCAAAAGTTTTTAGGGGAAAATACTTTTAATATCATCTCGTATAATATACGAGATAGTTTCAATAAATATATTTACTGCTAATATAGCTAAGTCATGTCGTTCAACCAATGCTAATTTGTTATTAAATAAATATTTACTGATTTTGAGTGTATTCGTGCATATATGTAAAATCTTTGATTTCAACTGTCTAGTATAAATTTCTATATTTTTAGAATGATTGTATTGGTTTCATAATTATGTACTTTATTTATTTTTTATGTACCACCTATCCACCCATTTTGTTGGTAACAGAAAGAACTCTAAATATTATTTATTAACTCATTAATTGATTATAAATTTCAAAAAAAAGTACTTTAGGGAAGTAATTTATTTTACAATTTTAGCTTAAAGATAATGATGAGATATCAATTTAGAAAATTATGTTTTAATGTTAGTTAAAAAAAAAAAATCAAAAACATTAGTCAAATATTTTAAATTTCTTCTCAAAAATATTCACTTATCTCAGTAGGACACTAAAATCTTACATTCCATCTTATTGTAATTTATACTATACGCAATTTCATTAGATTTTTGATCATCAGCCGTATCCAAGTATTTATTTCCAACAACTACCGGTAAAGTATTGACTGCCGTCTGTTGCGTCAATTGTGTATTGGATTTTCAATTTTAAAGTTTTTTTTTTTTAAGCCTCTATACAAATTGTATGCCATTTATATACATATAACACACTCGTAAAAATCGGTTACGAGTTGCCAGTGTTTTTGACACATTAATTTTATAGTTTACTTGTCCTTGTATATATATATATATATATACATACAATATTGAACATAAAGCAGCGATGTATTTGAACAACAGAATATAAGAAGATAAAGAATAAATAATTTTATACGATTAAAATAGACAGAATGAAAAAAATAAAATTATAAATAATAGATGATATGCGTGCTTATATTAAGTAGCCATGACATTTTACAATGATGGATAAAACTTTAAGAAAAATTTGTGTATTTTAGAAAAAAAGTTTACAAATAGTTTTAAAGTTGTAAAAATGTATTTTTGGACTTGGTACTGAATTATAAGTGGATAAATTAAGAGCTATTTTTAAATGTTAGTTATAAATATATCATGCGCAAAAACCAATAAAAATGGGTAATAAACCGAAAAATATATAATAAACATTTTAAATACCAGAGAAGTGCAAAAAAATTGTTGTTGAAAATGGATCGGAGAGCTGACAATTTTACAGCGATGGATGTAAATACAAAATAAAAGTAATCAAATCTCACTCAAAAAATATTTAAGAAACAATATGGAATTAAGTTTGTTTTTTTTTGTACTTTGTAGTTCTTTTCAATATGTATTATACTCGGTAAAGTTGTTATTCTGAAGTTAAAGCCGTTAATTGTACTAAAACTAGTCGTTAAAACGTCACATTAATTATAACACGGCGGTATATAAATTCTCTCCAGTCAACAGCATGGTTTATTGTATTATACTCGTATAACATAATATACAGCATATTATTCGAGAAACCGAAACATTCGGGTGTCCCATGCTGCAATCACAAGCCATGTTATGTATACCATTATCACGCGCATACAAAGGACACGGAAACCTATTTAATGTTGTATTTCCGAAGGATAAATGTACAGGTCGACCTTTGAGCTTATGTTCAGAAAGGTATGCAAGTCTATAGCTGCGTAATGTACCTCAAAACAGACCAAAACGAGTACGTTGAATGAGCGGTTACCAGCTGTGGGGTGAAGAAGGGTTATAGGATACGGTGACAACGGTCTTAGGAGAGTCCATGTATAAGGCGCGCGCAGTGTACATAAATAACATTATGATGATTATAATATTTACCTAGCTCGATCGAGTTTCACACACTTCAACGGTCCGTTGGCGACGACTGTAGCCGCTCGCGGACGGTCGAGTAATAGTGCAATTTCACCTGAAACATACATTTTAAGGTTGCAAATGTAAGTGACGATATGCTAAAATATTATTATATTTACTTATTCGATAATTCTCCTTTTCATCTTTTTTAATTTTAAGGTAATAAAATTATTTTTTATAGATTGACATAATATTTTTTTTAAATGTCTAATGCTTGTATTTAAATTTATTATAAGGTGTAATATAACAATAGACAAATGTAACTCATTAAATATTTTATTGGTCGAAACAAAAGCTCTTGAAAATAATATATTATTACCTCTGTTGGTTTAATAATGCGGTTTTGTAAATAAATCCAGGTTTTTTGTATTTCTGAAAGTGTCGTGATTGTTATAACCACGACCACGGCGTCCCTATGACGTCCGCGAGGACGCGACCGAACCAGTCTGGCCGCCGCCGGCGGTGCGGACCGTCGCCTCGGCGGACGGCGGCATCTCACGTACGACGGTTAAGAGCGAAAGAATGGCTGGTCGTATGTCTGCATTTTTATTATTATTATAACAATTGTATTTTAATTGTTAAAATAAAAACTCTGTTATTTATTTAAAATCTCGTGTTTCTACACTTCAAAACCGTCAACACCTACAAAAGAAGTATGAAACCAATATGATGATTTCTCTAAAGCTAATAGATTATGACAGACAATATGGTTGTTCAAATATTGTATATAATCATAATATCAGCTAATTTGTGTCTTATAGGCAATGAGTTAATGCTTAAGGAGTATTTAATAAATTTGATGGTTTCTCTAAAGATATGTATATCTATATATTGATCGTACTGCCGTTATGAGAACGGAAGGAAACACAAAAGTCCAATCGGAGACGAATAAGCAATTATTCGTTGCCGATCGAAACACTTGTGTTTTCGGACGGAAACCAGAAACAAGACGAAATTTTATTCTAATTTTCTAAATTCTTTAGCGAAATAAGACGAAGCTAAAAAAATAATACATTTTGAAAATTTCTAGTATAATCGCAGCGACAGGACTAAATATTGTTCCTATCTTAAACGGGTTTCGACGATCCCAACCAAAATCCACAGCCTGTCTTTGTTGTTTATAATATTAATATAATGTGTGCGTATTGTACACTACAGCATAGGCGCAATTTCAAATTTTGACTTGGGGGAGGGTTGAATATATTAAGGGCAAGCAAACCCGTGCGGGCTTTGCCCCCCACACCTCCACCAATCATCATTCATATCTTACCTTATAATATTACTTTATAATCTGATTAAATTTTTTTTATCTTTATTATTACGGTCGACCTACCACAAATTTTAAGTAGGGGGGTTGTGACTTATGATAACATAATTTTAACAACATAGTAATACATTTATTAATTTATTTTATTATATCTACTCGTATATATCAATCAAAATAAAAAACAAATTATAATTGTAACCTTTTATTGGTCTTAGCATACTCAATTAATATATCCTCAGCTTTAAGCCGATTTGATACTTTTCTTTTAATGTTTATTATAAGGAAACTGGAAAATCGCTCATCAAACTAATATTATACATTTAATTCTACAATACCAGTGATAATTTTTATTTTATAATTAACATGGCCATCTCGTAATATATAATATTATTTAAATATATATAAAAAAAAAACAAAACTGTACATATTTATAATATTATAACATTTTAAATTTGTAGATTTTTGGGGAGCTATGGCTAAATTTGGGAGGGGCATAGCTCCCAAGCCCCCCTAATTTGCGCCTATGCACTACAGAGTGTCCTATTTATTCATGATTTATTTTTATTGAACTTGACGAGAATTATATTTCGATGATTAACCATATACATATAAGTTGGCAATATCAATTAAAATAATTATCACCCGAGAGATATTTTAAATTATTAAATGCTCATGGAGTATCGTTTCTTTAACATAAAGTACTATATACTTATATATATATTCTTTAATTAGTTTTCGTTGTTTTATTTTATATTCATATTTCAAAGCGGGAACAATTACCGACATTTTTTTTAAATTATGAAAGTATTATATCGTGTTGGATCAGAACATATTTTGCGTGACGCACGCGTCTTTCGGCTCCAAATTAAAGATAAATATGTGAGTATTTATGCCGTTTATCCACAATAAATACACCGTATTGTATTCAATTGCGAGGACATCGACACGAAAACGTTAGGGAAAAGTAGTAGGCGGATAAGAATTCGAAAGTACGCGAATTGATTACATTACCGCGGTAGCGTTTCGGCATCATTTGCACTGCACAAGACACTCAGTGTTTCGTTTGCGTCAACGGTATCGCGCATCAGAGTTCCAATTTTGCGGACGACAATTGAACAATAATTGTATATTTTCCTCTTGATTTCGTCGTCACATACTTCTCACTGTCGTCATCATCATCCGGAACCGTGGAGAATTCTAAAGCACACTCTTTCCCCGCACACGTCCATCGTTACCACGCTCCTCCTCCGATGGACCCAAGACAAATGGAAAGACGCTATGACATTCCGCGCCGAACGTACGACGAGAATTTAAAATTGGATCCGTCGCAACGACCGCGAACGTATCGATCGTAGCGAGTTCAAACGTATTTAGGGGACAAATAAAATATTGCACACGACGAGAACGAGAACGGAGGAAAAAAAAATAATAAAAATGTCATCCTTTTGTCAAAGTGCGAACAGGATGCAAACGAGTGTTAACCTAACCTGAAACCAACGAGGTTATTTTGAACGTGTGATCGTTGACGACGGCATATATGTACCTATTTATTTACACGCGTAGGAGTACAACACACGTTGTAACGCGTTTTTCTTTGACGGTACGACAGTTTTACACCCGAGGAAAGGGATAAATAGATATCATCACAATAATATTGTAAACACATGACGTACAAAATTATACAAACGTCGTATGATCTTACACGTGGCGTTTCAAATATTTCTCTATTATCATAAGATATATATTATTTTTCAGAGACCGAATTGGTTAAAAAAGCATTATCGATTTGTATCAGATACCAACCGCTATCTTAAGAACACGGTATTTTTGACGCAAGACGGTGATATACATTGGTTACATGAATGATGGGTTTTTTTTTATATATAAATACATTTATAATAAAAACAAGGATATTCCGTATGCCATCTGGTATTTGGATCGAGCAGAACAATTATAATGTGTTTAACGCGAATGGCATATGGGTAACAATGATTTATACTACGATAACCGGGTGGAACCTTTTTTGACCATAATGTACTTTTCGTACTTTAGTTTTTCTATAATGTCCGTTGTCGGCCGGATTATGGTAACCAATCCAAAATTTTAAAATATAGAAAAACGTGTTTTTTTTTTTTTTAATAGCACACATTTAATACAAATTATGATGTAAGTAATACTAGTATACTTACTAAGTATATAATATTAAACTTATGATAATAAAATGTAAATCGTTATCATTGTAAATTTCATGAAGAATAAAATATACTTTTATCGATAGTCAGTATAAAGATATTGGATTTACCATAGAATAATTTCATTCACGTTGCTAATTTCTGTATTATGAGTATTATTAAATTTGTAGTTCAGCATTAAAAACTTTATACTCGTAAATTAATTATTAAAAAATGGTAAAAATCATATTTTTCTTTATTCTAAAGGTTTAAATTGATGATTTAAATTATGTACTAGACGAAAATGAACGTTACAGAATAGTTTAAAAAGAAAGGGTTCAATATGAAAACTTTACGCTAGCGATGGTTAGCCGTAGAAAGAACGAGACAACCTGTAATTTAACTAATTTATCAATGATATGAGAACGGGAAATCAAAAGTAGTAAAATTGGCGGCTTGTTTTACGATTTTCTACACCTTTAGCATGATATTATTCCCTGGTCAAATATTCGCTCCTAACAACCGTATTCACCGTAAGGTGTATAGGGAGAAGAAATTCGATAAGATTTAAATATTTTTGATATTTGCCCTCACAAAATTTGTTGCATCGAGAACTGCTGTCTCATTATCTAGTGTTGGGTTATCATCAATGTATACACAACCTAATGCACGACCCAACGTTACCATATAATGTACTGATGATGATAATGTACGTACCAAAGTAATCGGACGGTGCGAGTCTGCCAACTTCGATCAGAGTTTCTCCTTCCACTCGTTGTTGTAAGACGAGCGCCGTTCCTTCGACGATTATGTAAAAATCGTCTCCTTGTTCGCCTTGTCTGACAATTGTTTCACCATCATCGAACGACACGGGTTCCAGGGCATCGGCCACCGTCAGTCTCTCCCACTTGTCTAAGCTCTCTGCGAACACACGTACAAATCATACTTAAAATAAATAACAACACTATTTTATATAAATATATAAATAAGCAAATAGTTTATAGATAGAAATAAAAAAATGAATAATTAAATGCTTAGCCTGGAGTGATATTATATTTGTAGGTAAAGTAAGACCGGCTTCGAATTAAAACCGATCGTACTTTACAGGTATAATAAGGCTCCAGGCTAAGCATTTATTTATTTCAGTACATAAACTATTTGTTTATTTAAATATTAACTTATGAGTATAAACCATTTACTAATTTTTATTTTTTATTATTTTATACTATTATATACAGTAAATAATATATCGATAGTTCTTTTTATATGCGCGCTTTTAGATATAAACGCGTACTTAGTGTTATTGTTTGCGATATAACTTCACAGGAGTGCGTAATTGCGTTAAATTTTGTATAATATTATTTATTATAAATACTAGTAAATAAATACTATAGTACTTATAATCAATGTAGATAGTAATTATAATAATATTATGTATAAAGCTATATTTTAATAGTTGATAAATGCATACCGAAGTTAAGTAGATACCATTAATCTTATATATACTGGTAAATACATTTTTTTTTATACACCCTTGCGCGCAGTTGCACGAACGTTAATTAATAAAATTGTAATTAATGGTCAGTAGCTGTAATTATGCTGAAACAGTAAAATGTTTCCTCGGGTTGATATTACAACTAGTATCTTAAGTATTGATCTATATTTTGTGATTTAGAATTAACATGATTTAATCAGGCGGCAATCATTGTTAATAGATATCGACATTAATCGATCGCAGAAAAATGCAATTTTATTGATGATAGAATGATTTTCCTGTAGCGAGATTCATTAAATTTTAAAGAACAAACATTTCGTAATTACGATAAAGATTTAGTCACCACCAATTTAATTTCTAAGCTATATACATTAAATCTTTATAAATTATAATCATTTAGATTTTATGAGTAGAAATAGATGTACTTATAGACATTTTTTTATGTTTTCATTGATTCTTCACGAATTGAATTGCAAGAAAAACTTATTATTTTATAATATATAAATAGTTAGAATATTTACCAACGCAATAAAACAAATAATTTTAAAGTTTTGATAAAATATTATTAAAACTATTGAACTGATATATTTATATGCGTAATTTATAGCTTAATTCAAAAAATTTTATTACAATTTTAAAAATTTTACTAGTAGATTCAACCATGGTTGAATTTTGTTCAAAGTAATCCACCAACGTTACAATAAATATATTTAAAAATAAAGATCACGTCCCTGTGATTATGTAACACTAACTAGACTTAACTTATTTTATTAAGTTTTCTCTGTAGAAAATGCTAATTAAAGTTAATTTAATTTTTGGGTCTTTTTTTTTTTTTTTGTATAGCCATAAGATTGAAAAATTTTTCTCACTTTTCCATTTTATTTAATATATTTTTATTACTATTCAATTACTCGAACCTTCTGCTTAAATTCTTCTTCTTTTTTTATTTTTTGTACAAATAATATTTTACTCTAACAATTTAGAGAATATATATTATGTAAAGTACTGCTATACCTAAATTTGTTTGAAAAAATAATAAGAGAGTAAAAATCAATGACAATAAATAAAAGGCTAAGCCAAAACTGTGATACAATTTTTATTATTATTTAACTTTTATCGAACATATTACAGCTATGCAATTATAGAGAAAAAACCATCCTTTCATTTACATATTTATTTAATAACTATATGTATTTTGTTTTCGAGTGGTTTATTTAGAAATATATTTAAACTAGAAGTTGTTTTGATTTTACCAGTTTTGGTAGAACAATATAAATTTTATAATAAATAAAAGAGAATGCTCAAAACAATATTAAATTATGAAACATTATTTATTTTTTTTTTGATAAAAATCTGAAAACAGAAAAATTATTTAATAAGATGATCAAGTTTTGTACACAAATATTTAGTATTTTGTAGTATATTACAATCAAAATGATAAAATCGTTTGTATAATGTATAATCGTACATCAATTTTTGTTTACTTTCAAGTTTGAAACATTTTCAATATACTTCAACTATGTTTTTATATTATGATCAAATATTTGAAACACTAGTGACCTAAAATTTAACTATATTATTATTGTTGATGTACGATAGGTATAAATAATTGTAATCTACATTATTATAGTATAATAAATCAATATATTATGGTTCACGAATCATACGACGGAGCACTATAAGTCATTGTTAACAAACTAGATGTATGTGATAATTGAATATTCCCCCTCAAGGATTTATTCGAAGATTACTGAGACGTATGATTTTGGTTTAATATCAAATCATTTAATGATTATAAGATGCCTGATTATTCGAAATTTAACACATATGCAAAATAAATAACACATTAAATTTATTTTATATAATTAGCATCGTAACTGAGTAACTATAAAGCATAAAAGTAACAACATTTTCTATTATTTATTATTTCTATTATTGTATGCTTTTATCATAAAACGCAGACCGAAGTATTCAGTTTAAGTTTGTAGTAAACATTTCCAACGAAATATTTTAGAATATTACGCGGATTAAAATTCATACTCGTATATATATCATCTATATATAAATCGAAGTTCCGTTGCAAAAAGAAAAAAAGTTGTACTTTAAAAATTATTGTTTTAAAACGTATCTAAACATTAATTATATTTATATTTATCATATGATACAACAGAAAATTGTCTGTAAACAGTAAATTTATAAATAATTACAGTTTACTTGGTTAATCTAAAGCATAAAAATGTACGTATCCATTTATCAACTGGGTTTTTATGTATAGGTTGCATATGTATGTGTACCTTTAACACATTTACCTAATTAAAAAAAAATCGTGTAAGCGTGAAAACAATTATATTATATCAGCGTTTCTCAAACTATGTGTCGCGACCCCCTAGGGGGTCGCGAGTTAATTTTTTGAGGGCCGCGAGAAGTTTTTTTTAATTATACAGATAGTAAGAAACAAGCACATTCATCACATACGCCTAATTATTAATTAAGTATTATATTATTATTATTATTATTATTATTATTATTATTATTATAAAGTAGTAAATAAGAAATAAAATAGAATAAATTTGTTTTTAGAAATTATTTGTATTGATTCTGTAAATGTAAAACTATGAGGTCGCGATAGATTTTTGGAAAAAAATTTGGGTCGCGGTCCTAAAAAGATTGAGAACCGCTGTATTATATTATTAGTGTATAAAAAGTTCGAAAAACAAGTTTTTAAAAAAATAATTTCAAAACCTACATCATTATGTTTGTTTAAAGTTATTACATTTAAATAGTTCAAGTATTAATAATTATTAATTGAACAATAATAGTTTTATTTTATATACATTATATTAATGTGATAAGCATTTCCGTGTGAAGGTAAAAGCACTACATGGCGGTTATCTATATTTAACCGTTTTTCCTCGTCACATATCATTAATCATAGTGTTTTCTAAAAACATGTTAATGCGTAAATGACATTATTGTTCTACAAGGTTAAAATTATGTTCATTGTGGGTACACTAGGTTTTGTTCATTTGCCTCCCACGAACAAAAACAATAACTTAAAGACGAATCCATTTTTAATTTTTATTTCTCGAAGAAAATTTTTAATTATTATTTTTATTTTATTTTTTCACCACAACCATTACGTCTTAACAAAGATGAATGACGCTATTTCTTTTAAATGTAACATTCCAAGCGATAGCCCTTAATTATATCCCACTATTATAGCTACTGTGTAAACGAAAACTAATTTTCCTCTTATAATTAATGAGGGTTAAATACACAATTGATTTTATTAATGTGACCCGAAAAAATCTGGAGCAAGGTTTACTTTAAAGCCTGTAATAATCTTAGTATATAAAATACACCATAGCAAAATTAACGTTATACTTTAGAATGATACATGTTTTTATCGTCAATTGTTGATATTTTAAATAATATTATATACGTTTAGGTATCATGCGTGGGAATAAAAAATGTTCATGTTACACAAAATAATACGTTCATTATGTCCAGTGGATTTTTTTTTAAAACCAAATTTTTTAATATTTAATAAGAATAAAAATATTTAAAGCTAATGTTCCTTTTTTTTTTTTTTAATTATAAATGATTTGGTACGTCTTAAAATTTAAATACTACCATTAATATTTTTGTTTTTAAAATATTGTTATGTAGATATGAAGAATTATGTTTTGATAGATTGCAAATACACGTTATAAAAAAATAAAATAATTATTTTTATTACATTAGAAGTATTGAAAATTTGTTTTAATCGATTGAAAAAAAAGTCAATATTCATAAGGCTATTTTAGAACTGAATATTATATGACATATAAATTAATAAAATTCAAATATTTTAAAAATTACATTATGTTTCGGTTAATTATTATTTTTATTTAATTAATATTTCAATAAACGTATTTGAATATTTTCTATAGTAAATTAAATATGTTTTTAAAATAATAATAAATTGCATTGTATTATATTATTTAACACAAATATAATTGGTAGGAATTACGATAATATTAGGATTTGATTACCTAGTGAAAATATTTAGTTCAATGTTTATAATTAGATTACATGGAGAATCATTATTTCACCAATATAATATTTAAATGGAATCAAACAAACATCTTTAGAAAACTTATTTTAACTTTTCGTTTCAGGTTGAATATAAGATAAACGCCTCACTTGGAAACCTCATTTAAAAATAAAAAGACAACAAATAATTAAAAAACTTAACATCAATTATTAAATCCAAACTTAATCTAAAAACAAAATTATTAATTTATAAATCAATAGAAATACCCATCTGGTCTTATGGAATTCAAATTTAAGGAACCAGTCAACCTTCAATAATCGTTCATTACAAGCACATCAGAATATTATTCTTCGATTAATTACAAACACATTGTAGTACGTTAGCAATGAT